TGCGGCATGGTATCTCAGTGGGCTAGCACTATAAATTGACATCAGTCTGGACTAGTACAAGAAGGCACACACAAACAAACACGTGTATGCACTTCGGTATATAAGTGCAATAATCTTGGACACGACATCAAACCCCATTTCACCTCACCATAATGTGCAAAATTATTTGTCTGCAGGAGCACCCAGACATTGGGAAACCTCTATCGAAACATACTTTGAATGTTAATCAATAATTTATTGAGGAAGCAGAAATTGCATTGATGCAGCTTTAAAAATTGTTCCTGACAGGTGACATCATTTGCATAGTTATCAGATTGTGATATCAAGTTTTAGATTGGGTTATCACATCAATAACACTATACATTATATGATAAAAATATGATTACAGCCGTAACTTATTTACTTCAACTTGTAAAAAAGTTGATTTTCAGACCTCAGACACCCACTCTCAATATGAAAGTGATTAGTTTTATCTTCCTTCCAGCCGTTGAACTGCCCACAGTCATATCATAACTTGTTTTGGATTAGTGGCACATACAGATATATTGACATTTCCATGTGCACTTTTGAGGGGTCCTGAAAACCGGTCCTGACCTCCGCCATCTCGGTGTCATGTGCATGTTGCATGAATATGATCGTTGTTGCACATTTAATGCCTGTTAGTTATCGGTGCTCATGCTCAGTAAGTATGTCTGACAGAGTTCAGCACTTTCTGTGTGGTTTGTTGAGTGAGTGTGTGTGTGGATGACAGAGCGCTTGTGTCACGAGATAAGCATCAGTCTGTATCGATAACACAGGTCGGAGACATTCATTTGGGTGACTTGAATCGTTGAGTTCTGAATGGTGTGTTCAACAATGTCCCCTTGTTGGTGAAGACAGGTGAATGACAGGTTTTACACCTTCTGAAAGGGTTCCGTAGCTTTTAATAGCTTTTAGCAGCAGTGCAAAACAACTCGTGTCATTTGAATTTCTTTTGAGAGAAATATTTATTGTAAGGAACTACATTTTTTATTTTTCATTTCACGGGCCCACCGCCCCTACTGAAAAAGCAGCTGGAAAAGAAATAAATTAAATATAAAATATATATAAATTCCATGTCTACATCACTATCAGTGATTCAAGAAGCCAGCTGCAGCTTTAACTCCACAGCAGAATGACTTTCATATAAATAAATGACTGACATAGCTATTTATTTTTACTTTTATTTCGACCGACCTTGTGTGGAAAAGCTGGAATAAATCTGTGAAACATAAAATTAAAAAAGTGTGGCCTAAGGCGTTAGACATTATGAACATATGCTAGGTGTAGTGAGGTCCACACTTGGAGGGATGTGACTGTACGAAGCTGGTCTAGACTAGAACTGGTCCCGCTGTGCTAGGTGTAGTGAGGTCCACACTTGGAGGGATGTGACTGTACGAAGCTGGTCTAGACTAGAACTGGTCCCGCTGTGCTAGGTGTAGTGAGGTCCATACTTGGAGGGATGTGACTGTACGAAGCTGGTCTAGACTAGAACTGGTCCCGCTGTGCTAGGTGTAGTGAGGTCCACACTTGGAGGGATATGACTGTACGAAGCTGGTCTAGACTAGAACTGGTCCCGCTGTGCTAGGTGTAGTGAGGTCCACACTTGGAGGGATGTGACTGTACGAAGCTGGTCTAGACTAGAACTGGTCCCGCTGTGCTAGGTGTAGTGAGGTCCACACTTGGAGGGATGTGACTGTACGAAGCTGGTCTAGACTAGAACTGGTCCCGCTGTTCTAGGTGTAGTGAGGTCCACACTTGGAGGGATGTGACTGTACGAAGCTGGTCTAGACTTGAACTGGTCCCGCTGTGCTAGGTGTAGTGAGGTCCACACTTGGAGGGATGTGACTGTACGAAGCTGGTCTAGACTAGAACTGGTCCCGCTGTGCTAGTTGTAGTGAGGTCTACTGTATGCTGGTCTTCTGGGCTGACATCACTAAGCCTGTGTACTGGGTGTAGTTTATAAAGAAAAAAGAAACATTGAAATATCCATAGTTTGTAAGATGTTTGTGAGCTGTGGTTATGACAGAATCTGCAGCTTAGACTGCTGCTGAAACATGGCAGAAAACTCTTTGCACTTCATTGGTTCCACAATACCAACAGGACAAAAAGGCAAACAGGAACGAAATCAATATTGAAATGCCTCTAGTTGTGTTTAAGATGTGTCAGAGTCAGTGTTACACTATGGGAGGTACACCAGTCTAAGGCACTGCAATTCCCTGTGCAGAGTTGCAGCCCTTGGGCACACCAGAAACCTAAGATTGGGGGTTTGTATCGCCCTGATTATGTTTCTAGGTTTGTCAGCACCATACTCGTGCTCATGGTTTTCACCAAAGTAGTAAAAATCTGAGACCTGCATCACCCACCCACTTACATTGCTGATGACATATAGCAGAGAAAATTGTAAGCTGTCGAGTTATGCAGCTGAGATCGCTATCTGCAGCAAGCCAAGGTATAAGGTCATATGAAACCTCTTCCATCCTTAGAGAAAAGGCTGCTTGACGTGTTCATTGTGTAGAGCTAATGACCTTGTAAATACACCCCAACCTTTGCTTCTCAGGTGCTGATGTGTGTAATATAGCCACACACCTGATAAACCACAAGTGTTGTCATTCCTGGAGGACTTTGTTTCTCATTTTTCTTCCGGACGAGGGGACACGGGCGGCCTAGTCGTCTAAGGCGCTGCGATTCGCTATGCAGAGTTGCGTCCCTTGGGCACGCCAGAAACCTATGATTGTTGGTTCGGATCCCAGTTCACCCCCGATTATGTTTTTAGGTTTGTCAGCACCATACCCGTGCTCGTGGGTTTCACCAAAGTGGTAAATGTCTGAGACCTTCATCACTTCAGGCTTTCCTCCCTCATTAAGCTGACATGCCGTGATATAACTGGAATACTGTTAAAAGCGGCATTAAACCCAACTCACTCACTCACTTCCGTACGATGAACAGATTAGCCTTATCCTCCGTCAATCTTTGATCCAGGATGGATACGAGTTTGGCAGGTGTGGCTGTCTGTGGATTTCTTCTTATTTTTGTAACTGATACAATATTCACTTAATCTTTGTCCCTTTGCTGGTTTTATGGGTGATTTAATTGTTTGACTTGTTGTAAGGGATAGTGGGTGGCGATTGTTGTCTGACTGGCTGGCTACAGCCTGGATGTGTGCTAGCGGCCACCTTAGCGATAGACTTCATGTGTATTCAATTCTCCCTCACCTGAGAAAGTTAATGAAATATTGTCACACGATTTAACCCCCACGTACAAAAATGTAGTACATTGTTTGACAAGTTTGACCCTGGTATTACAAAGGTCATCGCCAGATGGGGACCATCTCAAAATGTAGTAATCAATTAAACAGACCTTGCTTCTCGGATAATATTGAACGGATTGTTTGTTTTGTTTGTTAAAGTTTGATAAATAATACTTTCGTGGTGAAATTGCACCAGATAGTTTTCATCGGAATGGGAGATAGGAGTAATGTTTTTAGAAGCTTTGAGACGATGTCTCTGGGGAAATACTGAAATGTGTCGATTGGCTGCTGTTGGATCTGTCATCAATGAGGTATACCAAGCATGTTTGTTCACAGATTTTCACGTTGATAATAGAAGCATGAATGTGAGGGATTCTGTCGCCATGTTTGACCACCAGGGGCACCGAGTGCACGAATCGGCTGACAAATGTGACCAATTGTAGCCATTCAAGCTATCACCATGTCAAACAGTCGGTCATGCCACCACAATGATGGGTTGGATTCACAGTGAGGCAGAATGACATTCACTGTTTGGGACAGATCGCACAATCACTCCAATCATTATCACCAAGACACAAATATGAGAATTATTCGTCCATATAGGAATGACCTAATGTTGTTGTTACTGACACGATAATTGTTTTATACTTTCAAGATTGACAAAGTTTGAAGGGTGGTGAAATTAGTTATTTAAGGCTGCAATAAATTAAGGGTCCAACTTAGACTGTTTGAGAACGTTTTTGTGTTTATGGAGGTGGACACAGCAGATTTGAGTGTACACCCCACTTTATATGTTTATACCTTCATTCAAACAAAAACATATTGAGTGAGTGAGTTTGTTTTTTCTACTTTTAGCAATATTCGAGCAATAACATGGCAGAAGACACCAAAAATGGGCTTCAGCCATTGTACCCATGTGGAAAATCAAACCTTGGCAATCCATTTTAACCACAAGGTTGCCCCCACTGTCTCTTCCTCCCTTTCCCCCCCCCCCCCAAAAAAAAAACAACAACAACAATATATTGAAGTCAATTCGTATAAATATATATAACAATAATAAATCAACAATAATAACGTCAGAAAAAAAAACTAATCTGTAACCAACAAAAAGAAGTCAATGACATTGCCCAGTGCAATAATGGCAACACAAGGTCCGACCACTCTTGTTATCCGCAATTCAGGAAATACTGTATTCGACGTAATTAGAAAAAGGGGGCTCTTATTAGAATATAACTTTGGTGAAAGAGTTGAAAGATCGTAAATTTCGTGGTTTATGCTGACAGCCTGAAATGATACAAAAGAAAAGTCTGTGCGTATTATACACGACAGATATATTTTTCCAGAATTTAATTGCCCGTAATTAAGGGTGCATATAACACATGAGTGGGTATTATACACGAATAAATAAGTATTGTGTACATTGATCAATCGGTAGGGTGCTTATTGGGATTGCCAATATATTAGCGCTTATTAGAGCAGGGCGCTTATTACGTCGAATACGGTAGTAGTCTCTAAGTGGGCATGGCCTAAAGTTTTTCTGTTTATTGAAACATAAACGCCAAAATAATTGGTGGTTAGTGCTTCTATTGACATGGAATCGATTGCAATTTATTTATTAGAGCTTGGGCAGAACCAATATGATTTCAAGGATAGCCAACAAGTCGCCATGTATATTATGAGTGTATAATGAATTTGTGTCTTCGGTGCATTTATTTCTTCATTTTGTTTTCAGAAACTGGCCGTATTTTGCCTGCTGCTTATGGAATATTCAGAACAAGTTCTAAGTATGACCCATGGAAGGGAATCCTTAAAAATTTATATGGAAGAAACTTCAACGAAATTCTTACCAGAGCAACGTAAGTAGAATGGAGTGAACATATGGTTAATAATGTGTTTTGTTTGTTTGTTTGTTGTTTAACGCCACACTCAGCAATATTCCAGCTGTATCATGGTGTTATTGTATTGTCATACAACAATTAAATTTTTCGAAAAATATCAAGTTTCTCAATCTCTGTTACCAAATGCAGAAGTATGTGTTCATAACATGATTGTGTGAAACTATGCTAGGTGTCTCCGGGAATGATATCACAGAAATATTACTAAAGGCAGCGTAAGATATTTACATTTTCTAAATAACACCCCAGTTGGGAAGAATAGCGCCTCAATATCTCATCTTATTGCAGACAAAGAGGTGGCGGGGTAGCCTAGTGGTTAAAGCATTCGCTTGTTACGATTGAGACCCAGGTTCATTTCCCACATGGGTACAATGTGTGAAGTCAGTTCCGGCATCCCCTGCTGTGATATTGCTGGAATGCTGCATAGTCATTCACTTACTCACTCACTCACTTCAACTCGTGAAGATTCGGGTTAGAAGAGGTCTTCAGCAACCCATGCTTGCTGTAAGAGGCGACTATGTCAGTCTCGCTGACTTGGTTAATGCATGTTATCATATCCCAATTGCATGGATCGATGCTCATAATATCAATCGGGCCGGTCGGGTAGCCTAGTGGTTAAAGCGTTCAATCGTCGAAAAGACCCGGGTTCAAATCCCGACATGGGTACAATGTGTGAAGCCCATTTCTGGTGTGCCCCGCCGTGATATTGCTGGAATATTGCTCAAAGCTGCGTAAAACCAAACTCACTCGCTCACAATATCAATCACTGGATTAACCAGTCCAGACTTGATTCTTTACAGACCACCATCAATAGAGCTGGAATATTGCTGAGTGCGGCATTAAACAACAAACATAATTTTCGCAGTAATACTTGAACCAGTTTACTGAGACCACGTAGGGAGATGTCGTGTAAACATTATTCAAGCTGACATCCCTGGAGGAAGCGAAGCAACCTCTGTAATGTTTTGTTCTAAAGTACACACCACTATTACGATGCCATATAGTTCTACAGATGGGAGAACCGTGAAGATCCGGGGTAGAATTGGTCTTCAGCAACCCATGCTTGCCATAAAAGGTGACTATGCTTGTCGTAAAAGGCGACTAACGGGATCGGGTGGTCAGGCTCGCTGACTTGTTTGATGCATGTCATTGATCCCAAATGCATGGATTGATGCTCATGATATCAATCACTGGATTGTCTGGTCCAGACTCGATTATTTACAGACTGCAGTCATATATCTGGAATATTGCTGAGTGCGGTGTTAAACAACAAACCAACAAACTACAGATGGGAAGTCTGAGAATTGAGACGCGTAGACATGATTTCTCAGTATGTGATAGAGTAGCGCCAAAAGTCAAGATGAATGTGACTGAATATTACAATAGACCCCCTAAATAATTGTTCGTTAAGAGTTCCACCTGAAATATATTGCCACCAGTAAGTACAGAACCACAACGCATTTAGAAATGTTAATCAGTATTTGAACTTGAGAAACTGTCAGGTTTGTGAAAGAAGTGCTCGTGTATAATTATTTCCTTTCGCGGTAATGCGGTCATCAGCAAAATCATGGTCTAACATATATTTTGTACTGCTGGCAGACCTATCAGACTGCAGGATTACAAAGATGTCATGATAGATATAAAAAAACAGGTAGACAATCAACAAAGCAGGTAGAAAACACAGGTAGACAATAGACAGATAACCGCTAAACCATCCTCAACATGACACTGATAAGATGACATTAGAAATTGACACTAGTCCTTGTCAAACTGTTCAATAGTTAAGGTATGAGAATCATCAGGAATAGTAGAAATTTGCCGTTTTTAAGGGTTTTGCAAAATCTTATCATCATAAGGACTAGTGGACTAAATTGTTCGTTTCTAGCACTGTGAGATGACATAGGTTCTTTCACATCAAAATGTTAAGCTGAGAAGAAACGAAAAACACTGAAAAATTATCATCCCTTTCTGTATGGAAATAGCAGGCTTGTTTGATGTTTGCAACAATGTACATCATTTCACATAAACATAGTGTTTGCTGTAGCCAGTTGAAACTGAGGGTTGCTCCGAAAAAAGGTTAAAAAACAACACACCAGCTGTTGGTACATCCTAAACTTAGACAATGCCGGTATGGCTTTCACCTTTGTACGAAACACAGTAAGTCTGGCTCAAGGACTAAATCTGGTTAACTTCCCTTTCTTGTGGAGTGTCCGTGTTTGTGTGTCAAGTGAGTTTCCAGAATAGCGACCGTCATCTCCTATAGGACACTGACCGAATAGGCTTCTCACACCAACCTTGTAAGACCAAAAAAGCAGATGGGGATAAAACGGGGCAAACTTAAATATTTGTTCTCACAAGGCTGTGGTTTCCTTCGTGTTTATCTTGAGAAGCCCATCATTGTCATGTACAGCGATGAAGGCATGTCCTTTTAATATTGGCGAAGACAGGCATGTTCCAATGCTTAGGTTATTCTGCAGGCTTTTGTATCATTCGTCATGTCTGCCTATTACGCGGTTAGCAAAAATTTAAATGGGCGTCTATTGGATTAATTTTGTTTGAAATATCTGAATGGTGCCTGTCTGTTGATGTGTTGCACGGTTGCTGAAAGTAAACACAGAAATGTGGTTTGTGTAATCATGTGTGCAGCAGTGAAAGGTTTGTGCTTGTCATAACAGCTTGAACAGGGAAAGGGCAGCAATTATGGATGGCACTGTTCATGCACACACCCTGTTGGTAACTGTCACACGTGCATTTAAGGGGGACTGCTCTCTAAGTAATTGGCTGTACCAGGAAGAGTTGTTATTACTGTACTGTACTGTACTGTCGACTGTATTGCCAACTGTAATGAAAAGAGGACTGAATTTGAGAGGAATGGGCTGCACCAGCAAGATTATACATGCTGGTGAAAAGGTTGCAAGACTGCAATGGGTTTAACTGTGAGATGATAGGCTGCAATACATTAAACTGCAAGACAATAGGCTGCAATACATTAAACTGCAAGACAGTAGGCTGCAATACATTAAACTGCAAGACAATAAATAGGCTGCAATACATTAAACTGCAAGACAATAGGCTGCAATACATTAAACTGCAAGACAATAGGCTGCAATACATTAAACTGCAAGACAATAGGCTGCAATACATTAAACTGCAAGACAATAGGCTGCAATACATTAAACTGCAAGACAATAGGCTGCAATACATTAAACTGCAAGACAATAGGCTGCAATACATTAAACTGCAAGACAATAGGCTGCAATACATTAAACTGCAAGACAGTAGGCTGCAATAAATTAAACTGCAAGACAGTAGGCTGCAATAAATTAAACTGCAAGACAATAGGCTGCAATACATTAAACTGCAAGACAATAGGCTGCAATACATTAAACTGCAAGACAATAGGCTGCAATACATTAATCTGCAAGACAATAGGCTGCAATAAATTAAACCGCAAGACAGTAGGCTGCAATACATTAATCTGCAAGACAGTAGGCTGCAATAAATTAAACTGCAAGACAGTAGGCTGCAATAAATTAAACTGCAAGACAGTAGGCTGCAATAAATTAAACTGCAAGACAGTAGGCTGCAATAAATTAAACTGCAAGACAGTAGGCTGCAATACATTAAACTGCAAGACAGTAGGCTGCAATAAATTAAACTGCAAGACAGTAGGCTGCAATAAATTAAACTGCAAGACAGTAGGCTGCAATACATTAAACTGCAAGACAATGGGTTCCAAACTGTAAGACAAAAAATGCAACAGGTTAAACTATTAAGACAATAGACAGCAATCAGTATATCAGTCTGTGCGGTTGTAATCATTGAATGGTTGGATGAAAATCTTTAAAAGAATCGATGACTACCTAACTTCATTTACCTGGATGTGTTGCCAATAACACAGATATAAATATTGATATTTTTTTATCATATTGTGGCCTTGTATCTACAATGTCGTGGCCTTTCAAGTTTACATGTTTCATGGTATTCCATTTATTCATCTGACGCCTTGCATTGCAGCTACTGTGCCCACTTCCTGGTGACAAGCTCACGCGCGGCTTGCAACAGCACTGAGAAGACCCAGAAATGGGCCAGGTCACTCAACAAGGGAGCCGAGGTTTGCGTGGAGTGTCAACCGACAGCCATGGACCGAGAACGCGGCACCCGTTGCATCGGCCACGGAGTGATGAACAAGCTGACTCGATGGACCGCCATCAACGTACCTCACTGCAAGGGAGAATGGACCATGACCGTGGAACACAAGCCCTGCACCTGCGACCGTGACGAGGACCCCGATGATGACCCCGCAGACAGAGATGGACCCACAAAAAACTTCATCTTTATTTAGACATCGCGGAAACAATGTCTTAAAACCAACCACCATCATCAGACTAGATCTGATCATCTGCCACCAGATGGCGTTGTCTTATCTCAAGGGAGACAAGTCTGCTCGCATTTCACACCTTCCCATAATTCCTGTATGCAGGAAGTACAGACAGAATGAATGCTATACCACTTGGTGTCTTTGAGCACTGTAGATTGTTTGTATAGAACTGTGGACTGTCTAGTGTAGCACGCTCTAGTGATTCACACACTATCATGTATAATACATTATTTTAAACAGGGACATACTATTGTAATCATTGTACAGCATACGTTGTAGCATCTGTCCTTCAGGGCAAACTTTGAGACCTTGCACCAGCCTCCCTGGAAGAAGCGTGATGAAGATCAGTATCAGTTGTCTCATGCAATAACTCCACCTAGACTGGTGCCATGTTGTCGACCATTTGGGCCCATGGACCTAGCTTTTCTTTGAAATTCATGCTTTAATGGAGACAACCATCTTCTATCAAGAACACAGAATTTGCAACCATGAAGCAGATTTCCTACAGAACAGGTCCTTTTAGCTACAATCTAGGATTATTGGCCAGTATTTGACATAATGGTACAGTACTTTTTGGTCCCCTGTAAACATGCTTTTCAATAGTTTGTCCATTATAATAAGGTGCCAAAGCTGCGAATTTCATCCCACAGTATGGTTGCATAGTTAATGTTGCGAAACATTTCTGTTGCTTCCTTCCTAGCTTCCATTCATGCATAAATCCAGGTCTCCTTGTTTGCCTCAGGAGTCTTTGTGTTGAACAACATAAGATTACATACTGAACACTTAGTTTCTAGTTTACAGCTATATACCTTCATACTGTATGGTCCGTAGCAACCTGTTGCACTGTGTGATTATTGACACTACTAGCACCTATTTGTTAAAGTTTGTGAAATTCAATTCGACGCTGATCTTTCCTTTGGATCTCAAGTCAAATAGTTCATTTTAGTCTACTAACAAGTGAAAGTGCACATCCCCAAATTGTTCCATTGGTTCAGTGTGTAAGATTGCTGGATTCCTATTGATGACGTATTAGACAAGCCAGGCTCCCATCGGTCTGTTCACATATATATGATATTCATATCTTTACATTTGGTCCAAATTGTTTACTGATACACTAACAGTATGAATATTAGGGAATGTGGAATATGTAAGAACTGTCACAGCCAGCTTGACCTAGGATTCCAGGAATCGGTGTGTACCATCTTGTACCACCCATTGCACCCAGCTTGTACCACCTGTGTGTGTGATGTATTTGGTAATGATGTGTTACAATGTACTCATTGCAGCTATTTATTGTTTAACATGTTTAACATATTAATCAACCCCGTCATTCTAGTGCTGTATGTACAAAAGCCGACTTTCTAATTTTCTACAGGAAAATGTGTTGTCATTGTGTTGTTCTTAGAATACACGTTGGTGTGCTTACGATGTCAGGATATTTGAATGCATTTGGGAATATGTGAGCGTAATGGTCTAGAAAATGCTGTTATTGTCACCAATTATATTGTAATAAGCCCTATTTTCAAATATTTCAAACTTTGTTCTATGAACACTCTAATTGTATTGAAGCCTCAGAAAAGGACTTAATTGAAAATATGAATGCGGTGAACTGCTTAATCACGGTATAGGTCATTTTGTTAAGCAATCATGTCTGTGTATTGTTAACATACATTGTCGTCCACTCTAAGGAGCATTATCATATAGTATTAGTCATCCTGTCATATTAGCTCTGTGTGGTATACGCAATATACACGTCAAGCTACAATCTATTGTAAATATGCACAGCTGCTAAAGGAATGGTCTCTGAAATTTATCTTGCAAGTGCATAAATACCTTTGTGAAAGATACTGGTTATACTCAGGAAAGATGGAAGAGAATACTGTTCCCTTTTGATTTGTTCACGGCATCAGGTCCATCGCTATGTCCCAGAAATCCTTCAAAAGCTCCTTTCCAGGCTACTGATACTCATCAGCTGAAAGTGTACGTAGGTTTTGATGTGTGATTGGTCTTACATGTGGTGGAACACTTTTAGTTTATACATTTTCAGATAGTGGGAGACGTTGAAAAAGATGCATGAAAGCATGAAAGAGTATGGCACAGGAGTCAGCCCTGTCTAACACCTATTAGTTTGTCAGTATTAGCATGATATTGAGCTTAATTTTCGGCATTGTCAGTTAGATCTGTACAAATGCTTCAGCATTGCACGCTAGTGTATTATCAGGCAACATTTTATTATTTATATCTGTTACAGAAAATTATAATTTTCACCTCAAAGTGAACACTGATCAAAATGGTGCTGAAAGGTCATGGCAACATTTAAGTTGCTATGGTGACCAGCCAGTCACATGATTGTTTCCATGGTTGCCATGGTCATGTGACTTCCATGTTTACATGTCCAGTCTTTGATGAAGTCATGTGTCCAGTGGCAGATTGAGGGGTCATCAGTCATGTGATTGGGTTTTCCATATTTGGTAGTCCACATTCGTATTGCAGTGGGGCCAAAATCTTTTAAATGTGCTTCAAAAATCTCTGTAAAGTCATATTTTCGTAAAGGAAATGTAGAAAATGATTAAGTATCATTTGCATTCTAAGATTTAATTAACATTCATAATTATAGCAGTTAATTGAGTGCTTTAAACTGAGTAGAAGCCCATATTCAAATGCATCAAACTAGTTACTGTTGGTCAGATTAAACCTATTGACCATTGTGTAACCAATGTTCAAGGAAATCTCCTAGGTTAATAACATAATTATCCTACATTAGATGCCCTTGTAGCCCTTTGTACCTCTTGTATATAATATTATCTACGCATTTCCGTTCATTACAATTATATGTCAGCATTCATAAGTTTTAACTGTACAAATTATTTTTAAACATAGATCAACATCATCATGTGTTGATAAGTAATGAATTTTTAGACTCTTTTTATGGCTGTTGCAAAGTTTTGTATTTCACAGCATTTTAGGCCAGTGTATACACAAGGTTTACATGTGGAGTTTGCCTAAAATAAACACTTTCTTTGCCTGTGTGAGCCATGTTGTTTTTCACCATTGCTTTTTAAACTGTGAGGATTCCTGGACAGAATATTATTATTATTATTATTAATATTATTATTATTATTATTATTAACTTGGTATTTATATAGCGCTAGTTTCCAGACTGACTGCTCAAAAGCGCTCTTGAAGCTCGCATAGTTGGTATGGCTGTATATATTTTGCTGAACAAGTGTGTCTTCAGATGTTTTTTGAAACTGTTAAGTTCACTGAGCATTCTGAGTTCTTTGGGCAGGGCGTTCCAAAGAAGAGGACCAGCCCTTGCAAAGCAGCGATCCCCGTAGGAGATTGTTCTTGATGGTGGCACTTCAAGCAATGATTGATCACAAGATCGCAGGGTTCTTGTTGGCTGGTATTGTATGATGAGATCCTCCAGGTAGCTGTGCCTTGAACACAAGAACGAGAACCTTGAACCGTATTCTCTGTTCTACTTTAAGCCAGTGTAGACCTTTGAGAATCGGTGTGATGTCCTCACAGCGTTTTGCTCTTGTGATCAGTCTTGCAGCAGAGTTTTGTACCCGCTGAAGCTTTTGGATCAGGTGTTTTGGTAATCCCACCAGGAGGGCATTGCAGTAGTCAAGGTGTGATAGCACGCACGCTTGTACAATAGTAGTGGCTGTCTTGGTGTTAAGAATAGTCACCAGGAACCAAAAGGTGTTGTTAGAGGCAACTAATTAGATATTATTTTTCCTTCTTTATTCATCTCAGCAGCATTTTTATCAAATTGTGGTACATGGTATTTAAGAAATGTACATCTTTTCATACATATAAATTCAAACTTTATAGTTTGGATGGTTGGATTTGTTGACCTGGTTGAATGTGTGTCATAGTATCCTGACAGCATGGCTCGTTGCTCATAATATCAATCACTGGTTTGTCTGGTCCAGACTCCATTATTTACAGACTCAGTGCGGTGTTAAACAACAAACAAACAAACACCATGCAGCGGGATACACTTCATATATTCTCATTGTAACTGTCAAAAGAATTGCAGAAGCATCTTAATCTACAAATTCAAATAGGCAGATTGGGTAGGTTAACTGTTGGTTTCCTGCTGAAGACCTGTTACAATGTTACTTGATACCTCATGTCACAATGTGGAAAGTCCATTCTCCTTGTCCCTTGTAAAAGCAGTACATCCCCATCCACCTCACCAACCCCTTATCTGGGAGTAATAATCCTATTTTGCCATAGAAGCAGGGATGTCGGTGAAATAATAGAGGATGCTGATTGGCTACCTCACCCAAATTGTCCAATTGTTTTCTTTGTTTGTGAGGCAGCAAGTAGCAGTGTGACATCAAACATTGTCTGAAATAATTGAACATTCATTGTTCATGACACGTCTCTTTACTGAGCTGATGTCTTCACTGCATGAGCTTGGGTAGGGTGCAGAAAAACTCAGTAACAAACGGGATTCGAAAACTCCATCATTGGTTTCTGGTGAACCCAAGGGATGCAACTCTGCACATCGAATTTCGGCGACTGGGCTGCTGGTGTCGTTTAAAGTAGGTACTTATTGTTTCCCTGCCTGGCGCGTGGCATTAAGGGGATAAAACAAGTACTGGTAGGTCAGTATTCTGTGTCTGAGTGGGGTATCCGTGTCAAAACCGACATTAGTCAAGACACACAAACCTCACTAGAAAAGAAGTTAATTGACTTTTGCTTGCTCCTAACATTCCCTATCTCCCCGAGGCAAGAGAGTTAACTGATTATAAAAGTCCAGTTTCCACCCTTGCCGAACCTGGCTTGAATTTTCAGGCTCGTTCATAGCGCCACCAGTGGCTATTACGAGTTATGTCCCATGCCCCTGCTATTGACCAATCAGACTCCACCTCTCATGTCACTTGCAAGTGCTGCAAAGAAAATGGCGGCGTCCAGTCAAGACAATCTGATCAATAATCAAGATCTATATTGTAATAAAACGAGCCTTACCTCGCTAAGTGCATCAAATCGCTTGAACACCTTGATCACCTTGATCAAAAGCATGAAAATATATGCATAATATTTGTGGACGCACAGTTGGCGGTATAATGCTTTGCAAATCCTTCAGTCGACCGAAATCCATGTTGTTTACGAACCGAATGTCTAGTTCGTTACGCGATTTTTATTTGACTATGCACCTTGATTTATGACATGAAAAGATTTGCAAAAGTTATGTCGACGCCCAGTTAGCGTTACACATGCTTTGCTAATCCTTCATTCGACCGAAATCTGCACGTTGAAATCCATTTTGTTCGGCAAGGGTGGAAACTGGACTTTTATAGTCAGTTAACGCCCTTGCATCGGGAAGATGGGACACACACAAACATCCATGCACGTTGCTATGTAAGTGCAATAATCTTGAACGCGATGGTTAAAGCTCACCTACACGTATTGTTTCGCAACGTGAATTCTCTGCACCAAAACAAGGCGTCATTGCAGGTTCTTCACTGACGTGAAAGACTTCCAACTAGGGCGTAAACCTTGATCGGGCATAGGGCAATAGTGTTTGTCAACGAAACATGTAACACAATCCATATTCGTCCTTGTAAGTACATGTATTATGTTTATGCTGACAAAAGCAGGAAACACGGGAAACAAAGTGTCACGTACTCCCGATACTTCACCCTTCCATTCCCATCAAGGGTGACGTCCATTCTTGGTGTCCCGCGCTCGAATATTGTTCAAAGCGACATTCAATATGGCAAACCCGCTCACCCAACCACTCTCTCACTCGCACTTAACGGCTCCAGCACTAGACTGTGATTTGATGCAATCTATTCAAGAACAAATAAGTTTGAAATAAACGACCTTCGAAAAAACAAAACAAAAATTAAAAAATAGACGTTCAATACACGGACAGATAATGATGACAAACGTCATTATAACAAGAAATAAGGCCGCAAGAGAACAAATGCGCCCTTTCTATATACTTCAGCCAAGCGCACTTTGCAAGTTTGGTCATTACTCTTGGTTGTATTCCCTATCGGCGGAATGGCTTGTTTTTACTTCATAAGTATTACACATGCAGCTTTATTCGTTGATTAATCATCGCTATTCTTCGTGATTCTACTTAAAGTGACGAGCACGATAAGACACTAGCTACGTATGGGACACCTGGTAACTTTTTATTTACAATGTCGGCTAACTAAGCTTTTATTACTGCCAAACGCCGTCGGTTCCAAATTAAATTTCCGAATATCGAATTTTTAATTACAATAGACAAATACGTAATGTTTTTTCTCCGAAATATATAGAAATTGGAATTACGGCCTCGCCAAAGGCCTCAGATTTTGCACCATGCCGGAACTAATAATCTTCTTCGTAGTTCGTTGGTTATTTCCTAATCAATTTTCAAGTAAAAATCAAAATCAGTTCAGTTGAATATTTTCATATCTCACCAACTGTTCTAAAATGTATTTGTAAGCTTAAATTGGACTATTGTAAATACGTTTGGAAGATCTCGCTAGGGTCACCTTCTGGAACAGGTCCACGGCAACCTATGCTTGTTGTATGAGACGACTGACGGCGTCGGGTGGTGACTTCCGATCCTGCGTTTCGCGTTCATCATAATATCAGTCACTGGTTTGTCGGGTCCAGGATGGATTATTTGGAGTCAAATTAAAAACTTCACATTTTTAAAAGTAATCCCATACATGATATACAACGGACAAATGTATCAGAGAAGGTAATTTTTAATCATTAATGTCCAAAGAAGGATTTTAATTAACGGTAGTAACCATAATTTGGTATTCGGTAATAACATCAACAGTTTAAATAAAATAAGTCCCAAGCACGAGAATCTGATGGCACACAAGTTCAGTAGCTTGTATGGCCACCATGTGCGTTGACAACTGCCACACAACGCCTACGCATGGACCATGTGATGCTTGTGAACACATGATTGGGAAGACGACGCCATTGTTGCTGCAAAATGGTGCCAAGATCTTGCAAATTCTGTGGTTGGTTCTGGAGAGTGCGCAGACTTCTGCCAAGAGCATCCAGACGTGTTCGATGGGATTGGGGTCGGGAGACCTTGATGGCCAGTCCATGACAAAATTGCTGTGTGGGGTCTGGCATTGTCGTGTTGGAAGATCAAACCGGGTCCATGTGCTGCCATAAAAGGCAGAAGTTCTGGTGCCCGTACCTGGTCGCGGTAAGCAGCAGCGTTGAGGTTGCCACGGATGACAAGAAGCATTGCCACAGAAAGCACCCCACACCATGACACTTCCGCCTCGAAATCTGTCAACTTCCTGTACACAACACTGAGCGTAACGTTCATGACGGCGCCTCCACACCCTCGCCCTACCATCAGCAAATCGAAGATTAAATCGGGATTCATCCCTGAAGATGACTTGATTCCAATTCCTCTGAGTCCATCGTAAGTGTCGCTGTGCCCACAATTGACGTTGACGTCTGTGTAATTGAGTCAGAATCGGCCCGCAGTATGGCCGTCGTGCTTGAAGGTGAGCAGTTCTCAGACGGTTTCGAACAGTTTGCGCACTCAGTCTACCCCTAAACATTTCATTTCTGGTTGATGTAGCCGTCAAAAATCGGTTATGGAGGTGACGTAAGACAACCTGACGATCCTCTGCATGTGACGTCAGACGTGGTCGACCCGGCCGAGGGCGATCAGCGGTGGTACCCGTTTGCTGTAGACGCGTCTGTAAATCATAAACAGTCCGTCGACTACAACCCATCGTCCTTGCGACTTCAGCTACGGACGTTCCCGTCTTCAACATGCCGATGGCACGTTCACGTTGCACATTTGAAAGACGTGGCATGACAAATGACTGCTAACAAGTATGGCTGAAAACACGTGCGGTATTATGGCCACGTGACTAGTTGCACGTGAAAAACCACTTTTGCCACTTTAGTGCTGTGCACATGATTTTGATCGATTCACCTGCACAAAAACGGGTCTTATCTGAAGACAATACGTGGCAATTACTGTTTAAATACACAATAAGGGCCCACAATAACTGCTCAAAA